TCAAGACTCATCTTCTGTTATTACCCATCATCACCACCATCCACAGGCCAAATCCCAGTTGGTGTGAGAAGCTGGAACAATTAATCTTACCCTCAAAGGGCGTCCAGTGTGTGCGCGTGTATGATGGACTAACAGAAGCAAAAGACAAGAGTGCCCTCCATGTGAAGCTTTTTTGATTGGATGCTAAAAGAAATATTCCATCTCTTTACCCGACACTAAAGCAACTCATGCTTATTCCTATTCCAATTCCAGCAGATGAAATGGAATCTCTTGACTTTTTTGATTGGATGCTCTACAAGTTCATTGAGATGATGAATTGGCTTTTCATCAATCTGATCCAGTCTTGAGTTTTGTCCATGGCTGGTAAAAGCACTCAAGACAAACCTTCTTCTTTTTCTTCTTCGTCTTCAACACCTCCATGGAAGTACGATGTCTTCCTGAATTTTCGAGGTGAAGATACACGCAAAAATTTCACCGATCATCTATACACTGCTTTGGTTCAGGCTGGTATTTACATCTTTAGGGATGATGACGAACTAGAACGAGGAAAAGAAATTTCATTGGAACTATTGAAAGCAATTCGAGGATCAAAAATTTCTATTATCATATTCTCAAAGAACTATGCTTCCTCTCGATGGTGCTTGGATGAGCTTGTGGAGATTCTTGAATGCAAAAAAGCAATAGGCCAGTTGGTTCTTCCTATATTTTACGATGTCGATCCATCTGATGTAAGTAAGCAAACGGGGAGTTTTGCAGAGGCGTTTGCGAGGCACGCAGAACGCTTTGTGGCTGAAATTGAGAAGGTGGGCAGATGGAGAGATGCACTTACTGAAGCTGGGAATTTATCAGGGTGGGATTTGCAAAATGTTGCAAATGGGTACGTAATCCATGCTAGCCTTCTTCAGTTCCTTGTGCACTTCATATCTCTATTTGTTGTTTCGGTTGTAGGGTTGTGCAGCCTCAGTTTATCAAATATTAAAAGACAATAATGACCAAAAAAAAACATTAAAAGATAATTTCTTAGAATTAATTTTTTTAAGTTTTGGTTTGGACCAGTCACATGTTTTTGAGTTTTAAAATCGATAAATCTAGTTCTAGTAAAGAAAAAATAGCATTCAATTTGCCGTGTTTTCCTGTTCGTTATTTCTCATTTCAACTTATCAAATTTTTTCTTATTTTACTGGTTGTTTGGATTAAACTTGCAGGCATGAAGCAAAGTTTATCCAAAAAATTGTTGAGGATGTTTTGTGTCAAGTGAAACATACATATCTAAATATCGCCAAGCATCCAGTTGGAATGGATTCTCGTGTCAATGACATAATTTTGTTATTAAACATGGCATCAATTGGAGTCCGCATAATTGGGATCTATGGCATGGGTGGAGTAGGCAAAACGACCCTTGCAAAAGCTGTCTATAATCGAATTTTTCAGCAGTTTGAAAGTGCTTGTTTTCTTGCAGATGTTAGAGACCTTTCAGGACAACAAAATGATCTTGTTCATTTACAAGAGCAACTTCTTTCAGAAATTCTGAAGAAAAAGAATCTAACGATTGGCAATATTCATAGAGGAATTCGGTTGATGAAAGAAAGACTTTGTTCTAAAAGAATTCTTATTGTCCTTGATGATGTGGATCACCTTAGCCAACTAAACTCATTAGCAGGGAATCATGATTGGTTTGGTTCAAGAACTAGGATTATAATCACAACTAGGGACGAGCATTTATTGAATCAAATTAATGTAGATGACAAATATGAGGCTAAGGAATTGATTTATAGTGAGGCTCTACAACTCTTCAGCTGGCATGCCTTCGGACAACCCACACCACTGGAAAATTATCTACAGCCGTCAAATGACGTACTAAAATACGCCGGAGGGCTTCCATTAGCTCTTGAAGTTTTGGGTTCATATTTGTCCAGAAGAACAATGCCAGAATGGATAAGTGCATGTGAGAAATTGAAACTTGTACCTCACAATGAAATTCTGCAAAAGCTTAGAATAAGCTTTGATGCACTAGATGATGATGAAGTAAAGGATATTTTCCTTGATATTACATGTTTTTTAGTCGGAATGGATAAAGAGTGTGCAATTAACATATTGGATGGTTGTGGTTTCTTCTCAGAAATTGGAATTAGTGTTCTCACTAGCAGATGTTTACTAAAAATTAATGAAGAAAATCAACTGAGGATGCATGATTTACTTCGAGATATGGGAAGAGAAATTATTCGTGAAGAATCTCCTAAAGAACCTGGAAAGCGCAGCAGACTTTGGTTTCATAAAGATGTATGTGATGTTCTGCAAAACCAAAAGGTAATCAAAAATTAATCATCTTTTATTCGATAAAGATACTTTTAGTTTGGAACATAATTATTTGGTTTAGATTTGTATATATGCTTTTGATATACTCACATATTCCTTGCATATGTCTGTAGGTTGCAAATTACTTATCAAATATGTTGTTTCTTTATTAAAATTAGGGAACAGAAGCAATTGAAGGTATCATCCTAGTCCTACCGGTCTTAAAAAACATAAATGTGCAGACTAAGACATTTGCAAGGATGGAGAAATTAAGACTGCTTCGAATGGATTATGTGAATCTTAATGGAAGCTTTGAACATCTATTTGGAGAGCTAAGGTGGCTGTGTTGGCAATACTGCCCCTTGAAATCTTTACCATCCAATTTTCATCTTGAAAATCTTATTGCCTTAGACATGCAACACAGTGACATCAAAAAGTTTGGGCCAGCTATCAAGGTACTGAATTGGTTTTTACAACATTGTTCTCTTTAATATTTGAGTAATTTGCATATTGTTCGTTTTACAATCTCATTTTGCTTCGATTTTTCAGTTTCTAAAAAATCTAGAAGTCCTCAACCTTAGTCACTCTAAATACCTTGAAGAAACCCCGGACTTCACTAGAGTATCAAGGCTGAAGACATTATTGCTTGAAGGTTGTTTACGTTTGTTTGAGATTCACCCATCAGTTGGACTTCTAAATAGACTGATTTGCTTGAGTGTCAAAGGTTGCACCAACCTTAGGGAACTCCCAAGCAGCATTTGCAATTTGATATCACTTGAACATCTTAATGTTACTGGTTGCTCAAATCTACAAGAATTGCCTGAGCATTTGGGCAATGTGCAATGCCTTAGGGAGCTTCTTGCAGGAGGAACTGCTATTAAACAATTACCCTTATCCTGCGGACTTCTAAAGAACCTTACAACCTTATCACTACATGGAACTAATCAAAATTTGCCAACAAAATCTTGGCGTTCTCTCATTTCGTCTTGGGTATCACCACGAAGACATGCGGATCCCAACAGACTTCTACCACCTTCGATTGCAAGTTTATCTTCCTTAACAAGACTAAATCTTAGTGATTGCAACTTGTGTGAAGGAGATATTTCAGCTGATCTTGGGAGTTTATCCTCACTAAAAGAATTAGATTTAGAAAGGAATAGCTTTCGTAGCCTACCATCAAGCCTCTGTCACCTGTCCAAGCTACAAATTCTCAGCTTAGATAACTGTAAGAGTCTTCAATCACTCACAGAGCTTCCTATCAATCTACAGAGACTAGATGCCAGTGGTTGCACGTCAATGGAAAAACTACCAAATCTAACAAGCTGCAAAAGATTGGCATTCTTGCGTCTTCCAACTTGCAATAGATTATCTGAGATCCAAGGACTGGAGAACCTTGATTCTATGCGAGCAATTCACCTAGAAAGCTGCAAGAATTTGGCAAATGCATTTATGGACAGTGTTGTTAAGGTTGCTCTCTCTCTCTGTCTCTCTCTGTCTCTCTCTCTCTCTCTCTCTCTCTCTCTCATGTCAGTATTTCCATGCATCAGGGACAGTCTGAACATAATAGTTACAACGTTTTCCTTCCAAGTAAGGAGATTCCCGATTGGTTTAGCCATCAAAGAATGGGATCTTCAATATGTTTTGATATGCCATTACATTTGGGACATAAATTCTTAGGGATGACTCTTTGGGCTATTTATGCCTCAACCAATGAAGTAGGTGGCTTCACCACTGCTCCTTATGCTAATATCTATGATAAATGCAATGGTGGTGAATGGATCCTTTCGTCGACAATCTTTGGTATTCCAATAACCAAGGAAGAGCATTCATGGGTGAGCTTTGTACCACAAAGAATTTTGGATTTCCCAATGGAAGGTGGAGAAAGAATTGAAGTCTATGTCCAAATAGAGGAACCTATGGAGGTTAAAAAGTGTGGTATTCATCTGGTGTGCAAACCAAATCTTGAAGAACATAGTCCATGCATCGATGCATATGATGGCACACATCCAGTACTAGATTCTGCGCATACTAAGAGAAGCCTTGGCAGTGATGATGTTGAAACAAGCTGCAACTTGGAAGACAGACACAATAAAAAGTTGAGGATGTAGCCTGATTCAACATGAATTCAGATCCACATAGAGCTTGATGGGGAAAGATTGCTGCCGAAAGTTTTTGGAAGGTATGAGATTATAACTCAATCAATTTACTTAATTTAGTTATAATTTATTATCTAGTGAGATTACAATAAAATGAGTTTGTTTGGAATTCATTACTTTTTTTTTTAGCAATAACTTAATCTTTTGGATTGTAACTTGACCCAAATTACTTGTATCTAGTTTGTAATTTGTAGTAACTTTCCATACAAGGTGCACGTATATATATGTACTAATATAATGTCAGCTATTTTTAAAAAATTTTATTTCTTATAAGCCAACTAAATCCTCAACGTCTTTTCATCTTCTTTTTAATATTATATTAATTACACACATGACCTTAATCAATATTTATCTATATCTATACTACTATAAATTTATATCCATACTAATATAAAATGTCATGGTATGAGAAAAACTTGTGATTGCCTGAAATATCCCTATGGAATATCTAAATGTCATTTACATCCTTATGGTTAATATTCATGGCTGAGTCTATTCTGTCCATTAGCATTCTCCACCTGTTTCTTCTGCTTTTGTTCTTTAACTCAGGTGGAATTCTGAAGCCTGCAAATGGACAAGCATCTGAGCAAGTATCTTGGTATGTGCCCAAACCTTTTACTTCTGAACAAGCACTGCTGGACAGCATCAACCCTTCTGCTTCAGTTGCCGTGAAATTTACTACCCACAAGAGGGAAGAGACTTTGGAATTGTGACTTCACCAAGCTAGCCTTATTGTTAGACTGGCCCTAACTATGGCAATTGCCAAAATGGATATGCTTTGTAGATACAAAAACCTACTAGCTAGGAGTTGTAATATATTTGATTTTTTGTTCTGTTCAATTGTTTAGAATTGCAAACATTTTATGATATGGGAAGGCAATTGCAAGGTATGAGTATTCACATTAAGTTTTTCTTTTCATAGTTTTCCACCTCCATGAACTTTAATTATGCATTAATATACTCCGTCACTTTTTTTTTTAAACTATGGCCTCTTTCTTAATTACCCTTTGGCTAGTGTTGTAATGATTTTTGACAAATATCAGGAACAAGTTACAAAATCAGATGTCTTGAATTTGAATTTTGACATTCTCTTGAGTTGAGGTCATTCCTCATGAATATCCTGATTCCGGTGTGGATGATATACCTTTGACCGGAATGGAGAGTGGATTAATCAAGATACGCGTAAGCTGACTCTTTGTGAATTTGAGTAGATCCATGAATTTCGATTGGAGCTAGGGTAGTGATGTAAAAGACTTTCCAATTTTGTATGGTCGCAATATATTTACGTTGCATTTGGTGAATTTTATCAGAGTTGTTGGAGTTATCTAAGTTATTGAAGCTCCTAACAAGCAACTCATGGAAATTGTTGCATTGGGAGGATGAATTGTTGGAAAAGAATCAGGTGAATTAAACACAAAATTCAACTAATCTATTAAAAATAAAAAGAGCTAAAAACTCCAAATGTATCGTTTGATTTTACAAGGATGCATCATATAATCAATTGGTTTAAACAGTTGATTTAGCCAGTTAAAAAAAAAAAAGTAAACAAGCAAATGCCATAAAAAGGGTTGTTATGTAAGAATGGAGAGATCTGGTTGAAAGGGTGTAAGAATTTTTTTTTCTATTGGGACAGTCCGATAGTAACTTTTAGATCCTCCACTCCACAACGAGTTGACTGCGGTACTGATAAATTTTTTTAATTAATTAGGCTAGAATCTCTAATTTGGTGTGTAAATTAGGTTCAATTCTAGTGAATTTTTAGTATATAAAAAAGTCTTATTTGCTTTTAAAAACTTTGAATGCTATCCCTATGTTGGTGAGGTTGGACAGTTATTGCATATTTACTATCTATTTTATTATAATCGCATGATTTCAACCTCAATTTGAGTCATTATAGTTACATCAGTATATGATACAGTGAAAGAAATAGCTAAGAAAGAGAGAAGAAACCAACTCTGGCAGCCATAGAATCAATGCTTCGAAGAAGCGAAGGAGGACTTCTCGAAGGTCTGTGTTGGGAAGCAGTACGAGGACATTCTAGTTTTGAGACAGAGGTCATCTGAATAAATTATCAATCTCTCTTGTTCTTTTGGGGTTGCTGCTTTCTTTTCTAGAATCGAAAGACATCGTGTATTGATATTTTAATAAGTATTGATTTTCATATCGTAATAAGTATTGATTTTCATATCGTTCTGGGTGAAACTTAAAATACCTAGTTAATTGGAATTTGTGACCAGAGTTATTTCTTGTTTTCCTGCAAAAAAAAAAAGTATATAATACGTTATAAAACTATATAAACTTGGATATTTTTATTACTACTTGTTTCACGATTTGTGTTTATAGAGAAGATTAGTGTACATGTCTGACGATTAGTATTTATAGAAAAAAAAAGGTACATTATGCTGACCTAACTTTCTAGAATATGTGTTTAAATTAAGTGATAACATTGTTGACATTAGTGATGTCCATTGTTTTGACTTTTCAATAAGAACATAATCCAAAAGAAAATTGGAGAGTAAATTCTTTTTTGGAATCCTATTGGATCTAAGGACTGGCCTCTGAAAAACACAATTTTTTTTTTTGGTATTGTACCTTTAAAATTTAATACTTCAATGAGTGTTTTAATAATTATTATAGGTCATTTTAAACTAAAATATTTATTATTTTTGTGGTTGATTTATAACTTTTGTGACTATTTTTATTACTGTTGTGGTTGTTTTTTATCACTATTATAGTAATTATTTTTACCACTTTTTTATATAAAAAAATTAACATTTTTGTGTGGAATTATCACATTTATAATTATTTTTACCATTATTATGATTATTTTTATCATTGATATGGTAACTATGTTGACCATTTGTTTAAGTACCACAACAATGATAAAAGTAATCACATATGCGATAAATAGAGCTACGGTACCAAAATTATTTTTTTGGGTACCATAAACAACTCCCCTCACAGCATGGTCGATGATATGTTGGAAGAGAGAATATTTAATGTAAAAGTGACACTATATCATCATCATGTGGTATCACCAATTAATTATAAATAAATAAGTCGAACAAATAAATTATATTAATTCTATATGATAGTTATTGAATGTGGAAGTTGACGGGCCCAACCGAGACTAAGGCCAGATTAGACATATAGATCAGAAGCAAATTACATAACAAATCAGACCTAAATTATAGATAGAAAACAACAAAAAACCCAATCACAATTGGTATAAGGTCAAACCCATTTTCCAAAAAGGTCCAATCTATTATCAACGCACGTGAGCGTGTCCATTCGAAGAGAAGAAATCATGGGCACCCAATCAACATAGACACATTGCTAGCGTCGCAAGATTAACTCTCCTGTTACAAGGTAGAGTGAGCTTCAAGGGATCACTTCTCTATAACGTCGCCCGTTACAAGGATAAGGCGAGACACATGACATCACTTTATTCATTGTGAGGATAACACCCTAATCAAAGCCCTTTGGAGCTCACTTCGCTTGTCTATAAATTATAAGTCTTACCTACACATGGGGTGCATCACACACACCTCAGCACACTATACTTCTTAAGTAAAAAAATTCTCTGGCCACCATCGTCATTCCTAGTGGAGTAGGTCAACCAGACCGAACTACCTAATCTTTATGTTTTCTTATGTTCTGTCATCTTTACTTTATCTTTGATCGATTTTACATAAACTCACTTTTGTACATTAGTAAAAGTTATTAATGGTTATAGAAATTTGTGGGATCCACTAGTACTATATGTTTATTTATTTATTATTTATGACAGCATGTGAAGGTTTACTTTGATTACTCCTTCGAATTCATCAGCTAGTCACCGTTACTTTGAGTTGGGTTAAAGCATGTTCTCGAAAAACAAGAGTGATTAGCCCTTAAAGAGTGTAAAAAAAAAATTGAACCTAGGACCTCTGAATTACTAAAGATCAGATTCAACCATTAGACAACTCTTAAGGGTTTTATAAGTTTATTTATGATTAATTTGTGACACTATATCACGGTGATTACGTGATATCACCATTATATAGAATATTTTCTCTAGTTGGAGAGTCAGCCGATACCTTGTATTCCATACCGCAAATCCGTTATTTCGTTTCCCTTGAATATTTCAAATTGAGGTAGCCAAGCAAAGTTTCCTAACAGAGTTGGAGGGGCTTTATTCTTCCAGGAAGTGCAGAGTAACCTACCAAATTACCAAGAAAGTGTTTACCAAGGAATATAACATTTCCTTAAAATAAAGGAAGAATCGCACTTTGCATGCCGAATGATTTTAAAATTTTCATTGTGCACCCTCAAAACTTAATTTACTCATAATACACTCTCAATTTCATTAAATGATTACAATATTACCTTATACTAACTTCCGTTGTTTTCGTCAAATCTTCCTCCACGCTACGAACATAAATTTGGCAAAACAAACACTAAAATTAGTGAGAGTTACATTGCAATTGTATGATAGAGTGCTCATTAAAAATACTTCTTGTTAAGAAAGATAACGAGGAGAGAGAGAGAGCAATATAATGTTATAACCATGATTTCACAATTCTCAACTTTTTATTAAATAATTGAAACATACACTCTCAAAAAAACATTAGAGGATACTATATATAAAGGGAAATACTATGTCGTCTAAATTTATAACTCAAATTTGAATCTCAAATGAAAGGATATCATTAGATGAGTGGATCTCATCAATTTTTTTAAATGAAACTCACTGATCCAATGATCTTTTCATGAGGAATGCAAATTTAAATTATAAATTTAAATTACATAACATTGTCCATATAAATGGTCTGCTTCCAAGAAGCCTAGTAGTGGGACCTTTCACCGGTCATTAATTCAATAATTTAATATTCTTATTCAGTCTCCAATCAATAAATATTAAATCCTAGAGTTGCTCATAGTTGGTCTTGGCACCACTTATATAATAAGCAATAATTCATGAAACACATAAAATTTCTCTCAAAGCATTATAAAATATTAATTTTGTTTTATATCACTCTAATAGATAATAATAAACTTAAAAATCTATCAAATGAGAGAAGAAAAATACCAAAGAACTTTCCGTCAAATGTCCAGTACTACTTTATTTTACCACTTTTACAACCAAATGGTTACCGACAAGAAAAAAATGGTTGTTCAGAAAAAAAAATTTAGAACTTAGAAAAGACAACGTAATTTATGATTATTTTTTTTTTGACTTGCACATTTATCGTAAAAAAATGGACAACAATTATTTATTACTATGATATGAAATAAAATTGACACTTTATGTTAGAATATAAAAAGTTTTATAATTCAAAGAGATAAAAAGTGTAATTTATCTTATTTTCTACTTCTCTCCAGAATCTGCTTCCCAAATTACAACCTCAATTTCTTCTCTCTTTTCTCACCCGCCCCTCTCCTCCTCTCTGCTTTCCTCTCTCACCTTTTCTCTTTTATATCATCCCTCACCCCTCTCCGGAACTCTACTTCGGCTCTTCACCCTTCTCATTCAAACACTCACAGCAACACACCTGCAAATAAAGACAAAGGAAGTTATAGGGTTGAATGGCCTCTCTACTATGAACGGTAACAAGATGAGCCCCCTTCATCTACTAATGAAATTGGTGATCCAACCAAAGAGAGCCTTGATTGCAGTCGAATACCCAGTAGTTGTACATTTCTTTAATGATTCTTTATTCATAGGCA